TATATATATATATATACATACATATACATAAGATGTGTATAAGAGACCGAATGTAACCTCTGAGGCATTTTGGGCGATCAGTTTTTCCCCTTTTTTAACTTCCTATTAAATTAAATTCCTAGCCAGGTTTCAACTAGGTTGAGGGCCTGGCAGTAACAGCAAGGAAAGGTCGGACCTAGAGAAATATTTGTTTTCTAGCCAGACGCTCGAATGTAACATCTGAGGCATTTTGGGCGATCAGTTTTTCCCCTTTTTTAACTTCCTATTAAATTAAATTCCTAGCCAGGTTTCAACTAGGTTGAGGGCCTGGCAGTAACAGCAAGGAAAGGTCGGACCTAGGTCTAGAGATGTTCAGGCAGGCCTTCCTACCTTTCATTAGGCATAGAGTTTGGCCGGCATTACTCTAGCTAGGCCCTCCGGCTTCGCAGGTTTCAGCTAAGGCAGGGGTAGCTAGGCCTAGCTAGGCATGGCTTCTACTATTAAAATAGTTTATTCTCGCTTGATGTCGCCAAATCTAGCAAAACTGCTATCCTTTTTAATTGCTATAGGGCCTGGGGCTACAGAATAATAATCACAGCTTGTTGGCAACACCCGCGAACGAATAAAATTTCTTCTTCGATCGTTGCTAACACCAAAGAACTCTATCTTGTATTTCTAGTATCTTTGCTAACACACACTCCAGCAGCAGTTCACTGAATGACGTCACGCATGCATCGGCGTTTCTATTGGCTAATCATGACGTAATATCATTTACCGTACCTTTACCAATCGGAAGTTCTGATACGGTCATATCTCTATCCACGGTGTTGTTTTATATGGCTGAGGCTATCGGCACTGCCGCAGTGCGAAAAAAAGCTGCCTTTTTTCTATCGGCACTGCCGCAGTGCCAAAAAGCTGCTGTTTTCTATCGGCACTGCCGCAGTGCCAAAAAAGCTGCTGTTTTCTATCGGCACTGCCACAGAGCGAAAAAAGCTGTTATTTTCTATCGGCATTATTGCTGCAGTGCGAAAAAAGCTCAGATTTTCTATCGGAACTGCCGCAGTGCCAAAACACTGCAGTTTTCTATCGGCACTGCCACTCGAAAAGCTGCTGTTTAATTATC